GGACGTGAGTGATTATGTGGTGTTGGTGATTTTGTGTACGGTGGTTATTGACTAATCGAGTAGATATTGTGTGTTGTATTGCACTGGGATTTTATGTTTGGATAGTAATGTTGGGACTTTAGTGGTGTGATAAGTTGTTTGTATTTGATGATTGATCGTTTACAGGTGTTTGCAGTGAGCTTGCTTTCGACATACTTTTCTTCGCGTGTTCGACACTGCATAGATAACTTGTCCCTTTATAGATTGGTGGATGTGTCGCAAAATGAGAAAAAATATTTTTGCGTATGTATGTATGAGAATAGATGATTGTGTTTGTTGGATTGCCTGAACGATGTGTATGAAGTTTGGTTGTTTGTGGAAATTTGTTGACCATGGGTGGTCATATGGACGTGTCCATAATCTAATACCCTCAGTAGACATTCTGCGGGATTCGCTGATGGACTAAATGAATAAGTTGACCGTTGAGTCGATAGACATTGTCATTCTCGACGGAGACGGTACACGATTATATTTGTATGACTGGAGGATGTTTCGTGTTGATGACGAGTTGTCAGTTGGAATTGAGGTTTCTTATATGTATATATGTATATATATATATATATATATATATATATATATATATATGTATGTTTATATATGCTTGATTATTTAGTTACTTTCTGACGGGGATTGAAGAGTTCTGAATGTGTGTGAATGTTTGCCGAGTGTAAGTAAGCACACTCCGGAAGTCGAGATAGTAATTTATCTTTGTCCAAACTGGGTAGTGCAACATCGAGTATTCCACTGTCACATCTATGTCGGTGGTGTCCATTGATTTGCAAATAAATTTGATGTATTGGTTTGTTGAATTTGTTGTGTTTAGTCTTATGAATATGGTGTTAAAATATTTGATGCTGTGCTTTGTGGAGCGCATATGGATGTGCCTGAGTGGTTTTGTGTAGTTGATTGTTTGGTATTGGTGAGCACACTCCGGAAGTGGAGATAGTAATTTATCTTTGTCCAAACTGGGTAGTGCAACATCGAGTATTCCACTGTCGCTTATCTGTTAGTGGTGTCCATTCATCGAATATCACAGTTGTTGTGTTTGTGTATGTTATGTTGAATTTTTGTGTAAAATGTGCAAGTAGTAATTGGAGTGAGGTTGCCTAATGTGGATGGTTTGTAGGGTGCGTGTGTGGGAGAGAGTGAGCGATGGTGGATGATGAAGATGGTATTTGTGTTTGATGTTGATTTGTTTGTACTGTGTATCACAGGAGTGTTAATCTTTCACAGATGTGTGGTGAGTGTTGTTTGTGGACAACGTGAATTGTAGTTGAGTGTTTTGTTTCGCTTAATAATAGTTGGGTTGAAGAAACAGTTTATTTTTCTGAGGTGGTGTGTCGCCGACGCCATAGGGTTAGCTGGTCGTTTAGTTAATTGTTGTTCTGCGAACAGAGGAGTGTGGTGTGAATGTTTTGTGGAGAGACGTCTGACTCATATGTGTTGTTGATTTCTTCATGTGTAGATGCGGAGCTAAATAATGTAGTGATTATTGGAGAGTGTTGTTGTCGTGTGTGTATGCATGTATGTTAGTGATATTGGTGATGTTAGTTGTGCAGATGCGTCATTTTGTCTTGTGAAATGCTTGTGTAACATTGACTGGTTGTGTTCTGTAGTTAAGATGTGGGAGTGTGAGTGGAGAATAGGATGACTGTGATGACGAGAGTATTTCTGAATAGTGTGTAGACAGTGTTAGTTGTGGTAGATGTCCATCGAGATATCTGTAGTTTTCGTTTCGGACGATAGTATTCGCATATGGAGTATATTGATAGTTCGTGTTATTTGTTCCTTTTTACATCGGACGTGAGTGATTATGTGGTGTTGGTGATTTTGTGTACGGTGGTTATTGACTAATCGAGTAGATATTGTGTGTTGTATTGCACTGGGATTTTATGTTTGGATAGTAATGTTGGGACTTTAGTGGTGTGATAAGTTGTTTGTATTTGATGATTGATCGTTTACAGGTGTTTGCAGTGAGCTTGCTTTCGACATACTTTTCTTCGCGTGTTCGACACTGCATAGATAACTTGTCCCTTTATAGATTGGTGGATGTGTCGCAAAATGAGAAAAAATATTTTTGCGTATGTATGTATGAGAATAGATGATTGTGTTTGTTGGATTGCCTGAACGATGTGTATGAAGTTTGGTTGTTTGTGGAAATTTGTTGACCATGGGTGGTCATATGGACGTGTCCATAATCTAATACCCTCAGTAGACATTCTGCGGGATTCGCTGATGGACTAAATGAATAAGTTGACCGTTGAGTCGATAGACATTGTCATTCTCGACGGAGACGGTACACGATTATATTTGTATGACTGGAGGATGTTTCGTGTTGATGACGAGTTGTCAGTTGGAATTGAGGTTTCTTATATGTATATATGTATATATATATATATATATATATATATATATATATATATATATATATATATATATATATATATGTTTATATATGCTTGATTATTTAGTTACTTTCTGACGGGGATTGAAGAGTTCTGAATGTGTGTGAATGTTTGCCGAGTGTAAGTAAGCACACTCCGGAAGTCGAGATAGTAATTTATCTTTGTCCAAACTGGGTAGTGCAACATCGAGTATTCCACTGTCACATCTATGTCGGTGGTGTCCATTGATTTGCAAATAAATTTGATGTATTGGTTTGTTGAATTTGTTGTGTTTAGTCTTATGAATATGGTGTTAAAATATTTGATGCTGTGCTTTGTGGAGCGTATATGGATGTGCCTGAGTGGTTTTGTGTAGTTGATTGTTTGGTATTGGTGAGCACACTCCGGAAGTGGAGATAGTAATTTATCTTTGTCCAAACTGGGTAGTGCAACATCGAGTATTCCACTGTCGCTTATCTGTTAGTGGTGTCCATTCATCGAATATCACAGTTGTTGTGTTTGTGTATGTTATGTTGAATTTTTGTGTAAAATGTGCAAGTAGTAATTGGAGTGAGGTTGCCTAATGTGGATGGTTTGTAGGGTGCGTGTGTGGGAGAGAGTGAGCGATGGTGGATGATGAAGATGGTATTTGTGTTTGATGTTGATTTGTTTGTACTGTGTATCACAGGAGTGTTAATCTTTCACAGATGTGTGGTGAGTGTTGTTTGTGGACAACGTGAATTGTAGTTGAGTGTTTTGTTTCGCTTAATAATAGTTGGGTTGAAGAAACAGTTTATTTTTCTGAGGTGGTGTGTCGCCGACGCCATAGGGTTAGCTGGTCGTTTAGTTAATTGTTGTTCTGCGAACAGAGGAGTGTGGTGTGAATGTTTTGTGGAGAGACGTCTGACTCATATGTGTTGTTGATTTCTTCATGTGTAGATGCGGAGCTAAATAATGTAGTGATTATTGGAGAGTGTTGTTGTCGTGTGTGTATGCATGTATGTTAGTGATATTGGTGATGTTAGTTGTGCAGATGCGTCATTTTGTCTTGTGAAATGCTTGTGTAACATTGACTGGTTGTGTTCTGTAGTTAAGATGTGGGAGTGTGAGTGGAGAATAGGATGACTGTGATGACGAGAGTATTTCTGAATAGTGTGTAGACAGTGTTAGTTGTGGTAGATGTCCATCGAGATATCTGTAGTTTTCGTTTCGGACGATAGTATTCGCATATGGAGTATATTGATAGTTCGTGTTATTTGTTCCTTTTTACATCGGACGTGAGTGATTATGTGGTGTTGGTGATTTTGTGTACGGTGGTTATTGACTAATCGAGTAGATATTGTGTGTTGTATTGCACTGGGATTTTATGTTTGGATAGTAATGTTGGGACTTTAGTGGTGTGATAAGTTGTTTGTATTTGATGATTGATCGTTACAGGTGTTTGCAGTGAGCTTGCTTTCGACATACTTTTCTTCGCGTGTTCGACACTGCATAGATAACTTGTCCCTTTATAGATTGGTGGATGTGTCGCAAAATGAGAAAAAATATTTTTGCGTATGTATGTATGAGAATAGATGATTGTGTTTGTTGGATTGCCTGAACGATGTGTATGAAGTTTGGTTGTTTGTGGAAATTTGTTGACCATGGGTGGTCATATGGACGTGTCCATAATCTAATACCCTCAGTAGACATTCTGCGGGATTCGCTGATGGACTAAATGAATAAGTTGACCGTTGAGTCGATAGACATTGTCATTCTCGACGGAGACGGTACACGATTATATTTGTATGACTGGAGGATGTTTCGTGTTGATGACGAGTTGTCAGTTGGAATTGAGGTTTCTTATATGTATATATGTATATATATATATATATATATGTTATGTTGAATTTTTGTGTAAAATGTGCAAGTAGTAATTGGAGTGAGGTTGCCTAATGTGGATGGTTTGTAGGGTGCGTGTGTGGGAGAGAGTGAGCGATGGTGGATGATGAAGATGGTATTTGTGTTTGATGTTGATTTGTTTGTACAGTGCAACACAGTGACTAGAGACGTTATCAGATATGGCTCAGAATAGAAGCCAGTGACGATCCTGCGGTAACCTTCTTTTACTTTCTTCGTAGAAAGTGGTTGTGTCTGTCTTAACTGAAAGATTTCTTCTGATTGTACCTTTCCGTTCCCTCTTTATTACTACACTTCCTTACACCAACCTCTTCGTTATTGTTCTCTGTTTTTTACGCTCCTTACCTTTTTTTCTTTCTCTTCGAATTCTCATTGTTTTGTGTGGCGCATATATATTGGCGCTCTCCTGTACCAATATTTATGTGTTCAAATAAATAAATAAGCTTGTCTGGACGTCTTCAGCGTAGTAATCATTTTTTGTGCACTGTTTGTCTTTTTCGAATATGTTATTTTTTTGTCACTATTTTAATGCTTTGCTTTTTGTTTATATTCATCACTTCATCTTGTAGTCTTTTTTCCGTTACTAATTCTTGTTTTTACTGCTAGCGTATTTCTCAAAATTTTCGTCACATTTTTCACTTATTATTTTTTCTAAAAATTTTGGTTTTATTATTTTCAGCTTAAAATGAATTCAATTTGGCGGACATTAAATTTTAATTTAAATAATCGCTTCCATTTCCATTTCTCATTGTGGTGTAATGTCAACAATGCTGAAGATATCCAAACAAAAATACATTCCAAACAATTTCCCACCCTTACAAACGCTGCCGTTGTGTTAATTGATAGTGATGTCATCATCGATATAGTTCAGGTTGGTTATATGCCATATTTTCCCACAAATAAATATGACAGTACCACTTATTTGTAATGTTTACTAATCTCCATTTGCTTTTTAACCTTTATACGCAATTTATCGTTTTCTAACAGTGAATTTGTGTAAAGTATATCTTTTGTCCCCCTTTTAAACTTTATCCATTATGAACGGATGTTCTAATTGTTGTCTCTTGCTCTTGATCAAGCTTTTGACGACACTTATTATCACCGTTGATTATTTTCAGCTATTAGGGATTGATCTATCATATGTTTAATAGTAATGATCAATATTGTTTCATTATCATACCGTTCATATTTTTAATTAGTTTCTACCATTAGTATTAAATATTATCAAGTTGCATCTGGGATTTAGTGATTTAATCATTCAGCTTCACTTTTTATGATCATAGTTTTGAGCTCCATTGTTCTTTTTTTAATCTCTTTATTTATTTAATTTCAGTTTTCCTTCACTGTCACTTATATTTAGAGTTTTGAATTTAGCATGAAGTGTTCCAACATTTGATATTTTACCACCCGGATCTATAATGCAAACAAATATTGTTGAATGATGCTAAGTTTGCTTTTTCTTTGAATTATATCGCTTTTTTCATGTAAATGTTTATGATATTATTATTATTTAAAGATATATTTCAACAAGTGAAAAATAAACATGATTGTTCGTCTTCAAGGTTTGTGACTAAGTTTGAGGTAATTCCCGATGTTCTCGTAAAAGGCTATTACCTGTGGAATTAAATTATGTCGGGTATGAGGCAATTACCGAGCAACGGCATTGGAAGATGCCTGTGTAATATCGCGAATTGATTAAAGTTAAGAATGTAGACTTTCGGATGCTACCTCAGTGGTTAAGCATTTGTCATCATAGATGAAATTCCTAGGTTAGCTCCGTGGGGGGGTCATGCGTTCACACTGACGAAGCAGCTCGACAGTACTTTTCTATTTTCAACAGTTGTGTAACTAAAATCAGTTAGTGAAGTAAACTGTTGTAAAATGGTACGTAACGGTCAACGTTTTTGCGATTTGCTGTAAAGGTCATTGTTCTCCTTATTTTGATTTGAACAAAATATGCAGTTAGCTTATTCATCAATAAGTATTGCATCTTGATATTTTTATTGATTTCAAAGTTTTTATTTATTTATTAGTCTGTTAATCAATCTTTAATATCATTTCATGATGATAATCTTTGGGAAAATTAAATCGTCAGCTTCTTAATTGTTCAGTATTTTTACCTGAATTATGACCTAGATCTTTATGAATTTTACCAATATAATAACGATTTTTTACACATCCATACTTTTAGATAGAGGCCGCTATTACCCAAGCTTTAATCCATTATAACGATGAATCTTCGGGTGGAATGTATACACGAGGGTTGGCTACCGAGATTCTATATTGCCTTAGCCCAAACCGATCGATTACTCATGCGCTGGATACATTTGGAATTAAAGCATCTACCAAAGAACTAATTGTAGGGATCATTTATTCCACAGATGTTTATCAACCAAATGATGCAGTTTTACAAAGCTACTTATCACAAATGGTAAATACAATTCAAGGTACAATAAATACTGGTTCATTGACACAGTTGGTTAAGAACACTGATAAAGTTTGTCAAGAATATGGAATAACAAACTTAGAACGAAGTTTAATCAATAAGTCCGATGATCCTCATAGATCTTTACTTGAGAGTATCTTAAGTCGCATGGCATCAAGGGATCTTTTCAGATCTTGAAAATACGAATAATTGAATGACATAATTATAATGATAATCTTTATTTTGTATAAATTAATTTTAATGTACCATACTGTTCTGTAAATATACATATGACGATTATCGTTAGTTCTTTATTGACATAAAACTAAGATAATTTGCCGGTGACCTTTGTCTTTTAAAATTTCAGAAACAGTAGGTAGTTGTTAATTTTTCTTGTAGTCTAGTATGAACGAAAGGACATAGTTATTAGACTGCGCTTAAAACCATTAAAGGGAAATTTAAAGGAACAGTTATTATCGAACCTCTATTTTCCATAGGTTTTCAACGATATACATCCACATCGTAAAATCTGTCTTTTGTTTTAAGTGAAAGCAAATGTGTAAATGTTTTAGGAAGCATAATACACTAACACGTTTTTAGATGTGCTTGTCAAAGATAGCCTATTAAAGTAGATTATAATGGCCAAACAAATCAATTTCATTCTTTTAGTCTGTAGTTTGATATTTATTATCATTTCTTCATCAATTTGCTTACAAATTGTAAATATTACTTCTAAATAAACAGGAGTAATTTTCATTTTTATATATACCTGGCCATGAGTAACAGTATTTAAGCCAGTCAGCTCAATTATTAAGCCATAATTCACAGGTTATCATTCATAAGGAAATTTCGACCAATGATTTCTAATTTGTTCTTGTGGAAAAAAGATCACTGGACTTGAATAATATTAATATATTGGATCTTTAAAGAGTCACTCGAAGATGATGAAACCATTTCGAGATTAGATATAAAGCTACAAGTGAATGATGTGGGTTATCGGATGACTTGGTAAATTCTTATCTCTGTAAGTATACAACGCATCCCAATACCTACGCTCTACTCCAGCAATATCAAATTATCAGTTCACTTTACAGTCAGAATAAATACCCATATTTCTTTTTAGACTATGTGATACAGGGTATTGCATTGTAAGTGTTGATGCTATCACATGTTACGTGCTTATTTAAACGATTTCTAATCTTCCATGGATTTTTAACAAAACATCACTACTGATCTGAAGTGTTACATGAATAGTTGATACGTCATCCAATTTAAAATTATATATATTCTATGTAGGTAACCATAAAATCAGTGATTTCATACATTTTCTTTAATTTATAAGTTCTTGCATAACATGAAAACTAATCGTAGCCAAAGAATATGAATCCATTAATTTTGTAAATTCCTTTTAGTCACTTGTATCCTAAGGACAATAATACTAAGAATAAGTGTACATATTTTATATTGAATTTAAAGGGAAGTCTTGATTAGGGTTACAGTTGAACCAAATGGTAGCTTTTAAAAAATTGGGACAATTAAAAGATCATTTCTACAAATATTCCTGACGAGAAGACTGAGATCGTAGACAGAAATGTAAAATTAGTCTTATAGGTTACCCAATACTAAATACAGAAAAGATTGGTTAGTTGAGTAAGGTTCAAGTAATAAATCAGAGAAAAGAAACGTGGTTGATGGTATAATATACGATATTATCCGTCTCATTATTATGATACTGCACAAATTCTAAGTAATGTTGATTACAGCATCCTTTTGGATGGATTAGTTTGATTTGAATCTACTGATAGCAGTATCTTCAAAAGTGTGCAATAATTTTAAAGTCATTAACCCATTGATTATGTTGAAAGGATTTAAAAAGCTGTGTTCAGTATCAAATAATACTGAGAACATAGTTTCATTTTAATCTTTATTTCTCTGGAACGTCCTCAGAGATGCAAATAATATTTCTCAATTTTGTTCTTCAAACCTGAGTGCTTTATCAGATACGTGTGAACCGGCAGACTCAATTCCAGGTAACACGGTGTGGAAATGTACCCAAGGTCGACTGTCTCAGAGTGGAGGCGGCTGAACTGTTGATTACCGATTTCTCAACGTACCTTCTAATCGAAAATTAATCGTCCTAGCTTCCTCACTCTTGCAGCCAAGTTTTGAAAACAAGTCTTTTAAGAACCGTGGCACACCTTGTTTCTATCTTTCCGTAAATTTACAACTCAGTCAACTTTGACTATGATCAATTCCTGTTCATCTTTTACTTCGTAACATGTTTTCAGCTATCTATTTTTTAAAATCGATCGGAAACTTGGATGAATCATCTACAATAATCCTAACTTTACTTACATAAGTCTTCCTATCCATCGTAAAGACCGCATAGTCCCTATCACAATGGAGAATGGCAATATTTTAAATATACACTACGTTTCGTAATGCCTCTTGATGATTCCTAGGTAAGACCTTGAGCTGTGTGGTGTCATGATGCAATATATTGATTTGCTAAATCAACTATTCGCGAGCAATTTTTTCTACGAAGGTAATTGCAATAATGAATACAGTAATTATTACAAGTTCATGAAAATACGACAAATAACCTACGTTCAGAAATTATGGGAAATAAAACTAGTTACTCAATATTTAGCAGTAGTATAAGACAATACGAATCAAAAGAAAGCAAGGACGGGATGCAAACGTACTTAAAACTATGAATATATGGAACATTAGACAAATACTATGTTTTCCGTTATCTTTTTGTTTTATATTCTCGTTGTTATTATTGACTTTTCATCATTTTTGTTACTTGCTTAATATAAAAGTTTATAAGGTCGTAATAATAAATAGATTCTTTGTTATATCCAAGTGAGCAGAAAATTGTATTTCTTATGTTTCGTGATTTGATGTGGTTCACTTCTTCAGAATAACTAAATATCCGAAATAAAATTAACGCACCCCTAAACAGTACTATGGAAACAATTCAGAATATAAGAGTATTCTTTCTACAAGAAGCTTGGCCAAGCAATTATTTTTAGACTATCTGTAGGATCTAACATGTAACAACCACATCTTTATATCTTAACTGAATCCTTTCTCAACCATTACTGATCGTCGTAACTCAATAGGGCTAATTTTTACATAATTTTAAATAGCCTAACCGATTACCAGATTGTACACCCCGGTTCTACCACCACGATCAGTGCTTTTATCTTAATCGGTATCTCGACTTATGTACTAACATCTGAACCAAATGCTTCTCTACAGTGACGCTTGTAAAATTACTTGCGACAACATGATCTTGTCTGCAAACTAGCATCCATGGAGAATATGATCATTTCTACTTATAATTCAGCATTTAGCTAGTTCCCACAACATTTAAGAATAACATAATTCAACCCTAATTTATACGAAGTATTTGTCATGAAACAACTATTTGTGGAAAAACAATATAAATAATAGTTTTATTATGCAAACTAAATTTCTATCCGTTTGAAGAATTCAGTCTTTTAAGAACGAATTTCCTCCAAGTTCTTATTTGATTTTACGAAGATCAAAGAACTTCGGTAGTGTCAGACTGAATTTTGGAATTGAGTAACACTTGTTTGTCCTCAGGCTATACAGTATTCACAACAACGTTAACAATTTGAGATGATATTCGAAGGCAATGGACGAAAAGTCAGCACTTATCTATTCTAATTAACTAATCAAGTGGTTGAATAACATTGTGACGTATAATGAAAAGGTGCTGTAGTGAACGTGACACAATTGGGGACAATCAAATATATTAGATCACAAAATTACAGAATATCTTAGTAAAATCTGAGAGCCATACGGTAAATACTTTATTTGCAAAATATTAATCAATTGTCTCAAACTTGACAGTTCCTTTTGTAAATATCAATCAGCCATTTCAGACTTCATTGATCTTGTTAACCTTCTGGCTACGGACCTTTCACTACTACTTATATCTGTCGATATCAGTAGCACACACTGAAAGCTGGTGATAACTTTTTCTGGTATAAAAGAATCAAGATTTTCGGACATTAAGTTTTAAATAATCTGAACGGTCTAAATAATAGGTTTAGTTTTTGTAAATAACACATACAACTAGGTGTTTATACAACTCTGGTGACAAGCAAATTTACATGATAAACTTCGAAATATTCTATTTTGAAGCAATGAGCATTTCATCAATTCAATCATTATATCTCATGAGTTTCGCAAAGAAATAACTTTTTATTCTACTGCTTCACAATCAGCTTCTTATCACAAGCTTACTAATAACATGACCCAAACTTATTAGTCTTCTTACTTGATCTATGAGTTAGTGAGAGTTATAGTATATCTTTTGGTGATGATTTTTTCTAAACATTTGTGTTATAAGACTGAAGAATAAGTAAACGGAACTTGGGAGTTTTGTGGAGTTTATAATATAGATTGGTTGACAATAATTAAAAGTCCTGTAAAGAGTCGGGTAATAAGTTTAACGCTACAAAACAGATTAATAATGTAACATAAACTTTTCCAGTGCTTACTGAATACCAATAGGATCAGGTCTATCCTAAATCATGATGGTAAGTAATATACCATTAAAACTAATAGTTGAATTTTACTAGAAATAACTGTCATTACAATAAGATCTAATAATTCAATAGCTTACTTAATTATAATAAGAAAATTATATTAATACATTTTATACCTAGATGTTTTCACTAGAACTCACTGTTAAAAGTCTGTTCAACAGTAATGCAAAGCAGACTACCAAAGTCACATTCAAAAAATATTGAATTTTTAAATGAAAACTATTTTCATCTTAATACTACTAAAATAACTTGACCTGCAATACAAGTCTATTTCGTATAGTGAAATATAAATGCGCCTACATATGCATATGCATTGATGCATATGTTAGATGACGTTTTCACAGAATTTTGGCTGAATGCCAATTCTTTTATTTTCTCTCAAGAGGTCAGTCGATTAAACGTAATCAATACAAGTATGATAAAAAGATGTATATTCTTCGTTCTATTCTAAAAAGAGAATGAATGTACGTAGATATATATATGCATTTATGTGCATGCATAGTTTGCCCGTAACATACTAAGTACACTTATATTTCTCAGACTAAACAAATTTAGTTACAGTAAAAACAAAGGGACAATAACTTCAAATAATGAAAAAATCATAAATTTCACTGAATAAATGATTTTGATAAAAAAAAAGTTATCATACAAACTTCCGTATCATCAGTTTGAACACTTCTTACTATTTGACTTATCATTAAAAACATGAGTTTA